AACAAACAGCTCAATGAAAGGACACTTGACCTCAACAATCACAACCACCATGCAGTACCCCACGCGCCATCCACTCCTTCTGCACGCCCCCATGAACTAAGATAAAACCCTGATTTTTAATTAATCATCCGAAATTAACAAAAAATATTGTACACTAAATAATTAACTTAAAATTTGTACGGAAAATGAAGGTCCTCTGCAACTCCTATTTTTGAACTAATAACAATAAGGTTGATGCGCGCGCACACACACAAGTCAAAATTCTGATGAGATCTTCTTTGCTTCAGATTCCTAAACGCCGGAATCTTCGGCTCCGGCAGAGAATCCGGTAACATGCTGTCGACCTCTGCCACTCGAGCCGCAATGCTCGTCCGCATCAACACCCTCCTCCAGGGCTACTCCGGCATCCGCTTCGAAATCCTGGAAGCCATCACCTCCTTCCTCAACGCCAACATCACGCCCTGCCTACCCCTCCGAGGAACCATCTCCTCCTCCGGCGACCTTGTCCCTCTCTCCTACATCGCCGGAATGCTCACCGGCCGCCCCAATTCCAAGGCCATTGGCCCCAATGGCTCTGAGATCGACGCTGCCGAGGCCTTCAAGCTCGCCGGAATCCCCAGCGGGTTCTTTGAGCTTCAACCGAAGGAAGGCCTTGCGCTTGTCAACGGCACTGCTGTTGGCTCTGCGCTCGCCTCCACCGTCCTCTTCGAGGCCAACATTCTCGCTGTCCTGGCTGAGATAATCTCTGCAGTGTTTTGCGAGGTGATGCAAGGGAAGCCTGAGTTCACCGACCATCTCACTCACAAATTGAAGCATCACCCGGGTCAGATTGAAGCAGCGGCGATCATGGAGCACATCTTAGAAGGAAGTTCATATATGCAAATGGCGAAGAAGGTCCACGAGCTCGACCCCCTTCAGAAACCGAAGCAGGATCGTTATGCATTGAGGACATCGCCCCAATGGCTCGGTCCTCAGATTGAAGTAATCCGCTCATCCACCAAGTCTATTGAACGGGAGATCAATTCAGTAAACGACAACCCGCTCATCGATGTCTCGAGGAACAAGGCTCTCCATGGTGGAAACTTCCAAGGGACTCCTATCGGTGTATCGATGGACAATACCAGACTTGCCATCGCTGCCATTGGAAAGCTCATGTTTGCTCAGGTATCGGAGCTTGTCAACGATTTCTACAACAACGGCCTTCCTTCCAATCTCTCTGGAGGACGAAACCCAAGCTTGGACTATGGATTCAAAGGAGCAGAAATAGCCATGGCTTCCTACTGCTCTGAGCTTCAATATCTCGCCAATCCGGTGACCAACCATGTTGAAAGCGCCGAACAACACAATCAAGATGTCAACTCTTTAGGACTCATTTCATCGAGAAAGACAGCAGAGGCTGTAGAGATCTTGAAGCTGATGACTTCCACGTTTTTAGTCGCGCTCTGCCAAGCAATCGATCTCAGGCACTTGGAGGAGAATCTCAAGCAAGCAGTGAAGAACACAGTGAGCCAAGTCTCAAAGAGAGTGTTGACGACAGGTGTCAACGGGGAGCTTCACCCATCAAGGTTCTGCGAGAAGGAACTGATCAAGGTGATTGACAGAGAGTATGTCTTTGCCTACATCGACGATCCTTGCAGTTACACTTACCCACTGATGCAGAAGGTAAGGCAAGTACTCGTTGAGCACGCACTGAACAATGGAGAGAAGGAAAGAGATTTGAACACTTCCATATTTCAAAAGATTGCTGTCTTTGAAGAGGAGCTCAAGGCAGTTCTGCCCAAAGAGGTGGAGGCTGCTAGAGTTGCAGTGGAGAATGGAAGTGCAGCAATTGCCAACAGGATTAAGGAATGCAGATCCTATCCTTTGTATAGGTTTGTGAGGGAAGAGCTTGGGACTGAGCTTCTGACAGGGGAGAAGGTTCGATCACCGGGAGAGGAGTTTGATAAGGTGTTTGTCGCTATTTCTCAGGGGAAGATGATTGATGCTGTGCTCGCGTGCCTCAAGGACTGGAATGGTGCACCCCTCCCCATATGTTAAGAAGCTAATTTCCTGTAAGAAAATCTGGAAGGGGGTAAAGAAACTGTATGTCAATAGACATCCTTCTCAGTATTTGTTCTTTTATTTCCTTTTTCTATTTCTTTTTCCCAGAGTTTTGTTTAAGGAAGCGACGTATTATGTGAAAGTTTAATTCATACAAACATGAATAAATAATTCCCATTTGTAGAAAACTTGGGACTGAGAATTTTATAATGTGTCGATTAATCTAAATTTGCTAGGAGGACTTACATGGAAGGAAATATAATGCAGCAATAGAAAGAGAAGGTAAAGACAGAAGGATGATGCTCTGTACAAAACTATGAGAAATTAGAAGAACTAAGAGGGAAATTTTGGCAGAGAGACAAACTAATCTTTCAGCATCAACTGATCGTATGTCATTAAGGCCTGACTAAATGGTGAAAGGATGAGAACTGGCTGTGTATCAAAGTTTCCGCATACGACTAGATCTATGAACCACTAGTGGAAGCTATACACCTAACACAACCCCTCTGGCCAGCATCTAGTTTAAGACTTTTTAAGTCTCTTCTGAAGTAAAGAATGACAAACCCACCCTAGAGAATTCAGTCAAAATATGTTGCTTGTAATCGCAGCGCCAACTTTACACGTGCAGGATTTACATGACATCCAACATGTTTCTGATGCAGGTTGGTAAATTCAAGTCCCT